AATCGTTATATTTTTTATATTAATTTCAAGTTTAAGGCAAACAATGTATCATTAAATTTATTATCATAATTAAGACGTGTATTAAGAATTGTATTAATCCCTTATATTGTTGGCAGTAATTAAGAAATACTTGACATTTCTCTACTCTATCATAAGATTCTTGTCATTTATTTTTAAAAAACTAACAAAAAAAATGCTTAATTATATGGTTTTGTATTGGGTTGTTTGATATAGTTAAAGTATACCTATCTTCTAACATACTGTAGATAAAAATATGAAATTAAGACATAATATAAAATGCTTACTCTTCTAAAATCCTTATTATATAATGATTGTAATTATATGTCATTTGAATTGTTCAACTTTGTCCGGCACCCGACCTGTGGCCAAATACTTATCGGTAATTTACCCGATTGGCCGCTACTCTTCGATGGCTTAGCATTGGATTCTCAATATAATTAATGTCATAATATCTACTCTAAACTATTGTCAGATAACTAATAGTGAATTTCATCTTAACAATTAAATAATCAGTTCAGTAATCACTTCATGTTTTATTTTGTAAGAATATTTTCACTTCAAAATAGGATAATTTTTCATCATATATTTTGATATAAATTTTTCAAAATAATTCCGACATAGAGTTTTAATTTTTTTTTTAATGTACAAAGACTAGTTATTAAATTTTTTTTAAAAACTTGGTGCCTAAGAATGTAGACTTAAAGTGTGAAACCAATTTCATTTTTCTATTTATATAAAACTACTATATAGTTACTATAAAGTTAAGTAAGTTATACTACATATCAAATGAACTAATAGAAAGCAAATTTAATGCACAATACAATGTATAACAACACTTTTCTTTTGAAATTCATTCAACAAACATATTCTATTACAAAGTATTTTCTTCTTCTCTGCCTTATTGTCGTCGCAGACAAAATAAATTAACAATTTTGTGGCCGACACTCACTTTCCCGAGGGATATACCACTTGTCAATCATATACACATATGATGATGATGATTTCACTTTCATCAACTACTTTATTATTTAATGTATAAGTCTAGAATACGAATGTATACTGTATAAATATTCAACATTATTTCAGATATAATAAGAATATTTAATAATTATAATTTAATTTATAATAAAGTACAATTTATCACTACTTTCATGTAAACAGGATCAAATTTATTTACAATTGAATATTAATTTTTTTAAAATTCTAATTTAATTGAATTTGTTTTAGAAAATCACAATGAATTTCAATCGTTTAATTATTGGCGTTTTGGTGGCATTGAGTGCTGTTTTAATCGGTGTTTCCTCTAAAATCCTAGTAAAAAGAGTAAATTAAAACACTATTTACGTGATTGTATTACAAATACACCATTTAATCGAATTGCTATTACATTAGGAAACAGACGGACAGTTAGATAATCAAAACAACGGCTATTTGGGTGCAGTAGTCTTCTCTGGCAAAACATTACGTAAGTGTCCAACACCGTTTTTCGCTAGTTTACCAATGGTTTGATACCTATTGTCTCTTCGCAGCCTAGGCAACCAGTCTAACTCAGTTTCTTAGGAGTGACTTCGGAAACAATGGGAATTAATGCAAAATAAATACAAGAATAATGAGGTATAACTGTTAATAACTAAACTAAACTTTACAATAAACTATATTTTGATACTAACGAATTGTAAGTCATGTGTGGTTTTATATTAAAAAAAATTTGCTTACATTTTGCTCATGATATTAATAATCAGATTCCTTAACAGAATCCCATTTATGATTACATGTCGTCCCGGAAGAGGAGATCAATTAGTTCTAAGGTATTACAGATACTAGACTATGATTTTAAATATTAAAATAGTTATTAATATTAAATATTGTTATTAAACTTAAAATGTACAGAAATAATCGATTGGATGCAGTCGTGCGCCCAATATTCAACACGTTGTGTAATACTTTTGATTCATCTGTAGTGCCATTTGAATGGATTATTAAAAATAAATAACTTCTTAATAAGAGTTGGGATTGATTTTCATTAAAAATCATTTATATATACGGTATATATATATATTAAAAATATATATTTCATTATTTATTAAATTCAATATATTTGCTGTAATCTGAAATTACATGTCTTGTATATGTCCTGAGAAACAACACAAACGTCAAAATGTAATTCAATTAAACATTTTATTAATTTTTGATTAAAGATTAAAGTTTTTGTTAAAATAATAAAGGATTAAAAATAAGGATTTATTTCGTTACAAAAACAACAAACATTTTAGTGCTTTTCAATTATTAAGGCACTTATGTTTATCACTAATAACTTGTAGTTATTACTTAAAAATACAGATAATTATGTAATTATTATAATAAAAATAATACAATAGAAAAACAATGTAAATCTCAATTAAAAGCTTAAAGCTTTACTTATTAATCAATTGATTTAAACCTAACATAAGATATATTGATCGGAAAAATGCAAACAATTTACACAACGAAGCGATTGATTGGCAAATAATAGCAACAATTAGAGAGCAGGTAAGGGAACCTCCTTTTCAGGCAATGTATCTCTCGTTTCAGTCAATGATTGGTCATTCACTGAGAGATTATCCAAAATATCTACCAATTCTTTCTCATTCTTCTTCTGTTGTCGACTCTTCTCTTCGTTAGCGGTTTGATCGTTGAGTTCAGTCAAGAGGTCGTCCAACTCTTCCTCAATATCGGCGATACCGGCGTCGGCGACGAGAGGACGGCTCACGTCGGCCACCATTTCGTTCATCACATCCAGTGTCTCCTCGACGTCAGCCATTGTGCTCTCCATGTCTTCTTGATTACTATTGGCTAACTTCAAGGCGTCGTTCGCCTTCTGGAACGCCTGGAAGATAGTGTTGTGTGAACTCGAGTTAATCAATTGGTCGATCAGCACATCCACGTTATCCAATTGCGACACTTTTTGAACCAATTTGTTCTCCACTCTCTTCTTCCTCTTCAATAAGACAATGGCTTTCTCTTTATTCTTATTGGAGACACAGGTCTTAGCCTCGGCTCGTATGGACTCGATCTCAGTCTCGAGTCTTTCGATCTCGTTTTCGAGCAACTCTTTGGCCGTTTCGAGTCGAATGAAACCAATGTCTGACTCACTTATGGCACTGTTTTTACCGATTTTCACAATTTTGATGCCATTGTCCGAAAAGACCTTCAATTTGTTGCTATTCTCTAAATAGTTGACAATCACTTCAAACGTCTCCAAATCGATGTCTAATCTGTTTTTACATTTGTTGAACAAATTGTCAAAACGGATGCAATCGATGTCTTCTAATTGATTCAAATACTTCATCATCTCTTCGGACATCACTTGAAGCGTTTCATTCAACACAAACTTCGAGTCGGCGCTCACTTCCGGCAAAATGTCTTCGCAAACGGCCTCCTCTTTGCCACTCGAGACCAGAGACAAGCCTATGGTCAGCGGTTTGACCACAAATGTACTAAAACTCCAATTCAGCCAATTCTTGTTGACATTGGTTTCGGACGATGTCTTCATTTCGGTCAAATTGACCACATTTTTGCCTCGTTTCAAATGACTCACAACTAATTGAATGCATTGAACGTCCGGTCGTTTGGATCCCCTTTCAAACGCTTTCATCACGTCTTCGGCTCTAAAGACAACCGAATGGGTCTGAAGAGACCATTTGGCGATGCAATTGATCCAGAAGTTCATCTTGAGATCCCAGCCCTCGGGGTTGGCCTCACGCGCCCGGAATGGGCCCATCAGTGCTGTCATGCGTTTGGTGTCAGTCCAACACTCGGGAAGGTATGGCCGACAGACACTGTCTTCGGCGTACAGATGCGAGTCATTCAGTGGCGGACTTCGAGGACTGTTTGCCATACTTTGTCTCTTCGTATTCGGTGTACTGTTTCTGTCCATCACTTGCGGACTGTTTCGCACTGTCTGTGAATCAAACGCCACTTTCGATGACATCTCTAATCAAATACCAGATAATTATCATATCATTCAATCTCAATGGTAATATCACCACAAATACCATTCAAAGACAATTGTCTCAAGACTTACCATTCATTCGCTGTTATTATTGGCTATTAGTTGGCGATAGAGTTGTGACAAACAGTTGTGGCAAATGTTGGCATTCAATGAAATTATAATTAAAACAATTAATTAAATAAAAATTAAAAACGAAATAACGATTCAATGACTGAATGATTGCAATAAAAGGCAATGTTTTTATCAAAACAGACAACACTTTCAAACGTTAGACCAAAACATAGACTCAAATCAACGCTCAATAGATGTCACCACACATTGCGAGCACTGTATCAATGCATACGCTATTCAATGCCATACAGTATTGTATTACAGAATATTACAGAATATTCTGTTCGTATCTATTAGTCGCCAGAATCTGTGTCCCGATTATAGCCTCAAAAATTATGTCACTTTTGTTTTTGTGCCCCAAAAGAGATAATATTTAATGAAAATAAAAAGTTTTTGTTTTGTTTTTTATTTATTTATTGATTTCTCACTTTTCTTTTATGGTTTGTTTGTAATACTGTTTTCGTATATAATTTGCTTAAATATGTTTGCCTAACGTGTGCTAACGCCTTATGCTTTGCGATATGTATTATAATATTGTTTATACAAATAAAGTGTTTATACAAACTTTTCTTATCGATTGCATTTCTTTGCCTATAGTTTTATGTCAAAGAATTAATTATATTAAAGGATTAGTCCATAAAATTTAATTTCTTAATTTTTTACTATCTATTCGCGAATCGATTTAATACTTATTTATAATTAATACAGAACTCTGTTTGTTATGGATTCACGTACTATAAGTTTTAACGTTTAATTCAATGGTATCTAATGAATAATAAATGATGTTTTGCAACCAAATTAAATTCAGTGAAAAATCTAGGCTTTCTCTTTATTCTTATTGGAGACACAGGTCTTAGCCTCGGCTCGTATGG